AAATCACAGAACCAAGAGCTTGAGAGAAGTAGTCACATCACAACCAGTCAAGAAAGAAACAGAGGCACACATGCCCGCTTGCTTCACTATGCTCTACTAGAACTCTTTGCTCTTATTACACCTCATGACCCCCTGTGTAGGGAATGCTTCCACCCACAGTGGGCTGAGTCATCAAGACCAATTAACTTAAGACAATGCTCCACAGACATGCTCACAGGCCCACCCAGCATAGACCCCTCATTGAGGCTCTTTCCAGGTGGTTCTAAGTTGTGTTGAACTGACAATTATTGTTAACTATTATACTAACCTGAAGTTTTCAGTAAAGAGCTACTCATTCTTGTCCAGCTTTTTTTTTTTTTTTTTTTTTTTTTTTTTTTTTTTTTTTGAAAACCTCATCTGTATTCTAGTTTAGCATGAAGTTTGGGGCGGGGGATTGTTTTGTTTTGTTTTTTAATGTTTTGTCTTTTAATGACTTCTATGCCTGTGTCAATTTAGGAGGGGAGTCTTCGATAAGGTTTGTTTAGCCCTTCACCTCTTCCTCGGCCAACTGTCCCATTCACTGGTCTCTGAGACAAACGCCAGAGATTCCTTAATACCTACAAGTTAAAATATTCCATTCTGGCTAAGTCTCTAATGACAGACTCCACCGTGGCATAATGGCTCAATGAGATGACAGAGGCAATTTTTTTTTTGCTTCTGTGTGTGCACGCACATGTGTATGTGTGTGCATATCTGTGCAGGCTCACAGGCAGGCAATGCATTCACCTGTGCAAGCAGGTCCATGTGGAGGCCAGAGGTTGATGTCAGGAGTCTTCCTCTACCACTCCCTACTTTATTTTTTGAGGCAGGGTCTCTCCCTGAACCTGGAGCTCATCATTTCAGCGAGACTGTCTGGACAGTGAAGCCCCAGCATCTGCCTGAGTCCTCTACCCAGCACAGAAGTTACAGTCCAGGCTCACGCTCCCTCACCTGGCTTTTACATGAGTCCTAGGGATCTGAACCCGTGTCTTCATGCTTACATAGCAAACACTTTGTCCACAGAGCCATCTCCCCAGCCTGACAAGATCTCACTAACAAAAACACATTGACTCCTCAAAAAGGTATTTTTACCCTCTCCCCAAGTATCCTAGATGATAGGATATCCCTATCAATATTCCCTATGAAATCGAGTCATCTTCATGTGTGAAAATCTAAACTTAACCAAGAGCTATAAACTACTGAACTAACTCTTGAACTTGCTAGAAAGCCATTCACTGCAGTCATTCAGGAAAAAATAACCCATTTTCATGTGAGTCTAGGAATTAATCAACCCAGACGGCCCCAGGTCGAGTCTGACTTGGTTGTTCTCATTAGAGAGCAGACACATGGCTCTGAACCAGCCCTAATCTCTAAGGGGATCCCCCACGAAAACTAAACACCAAAACTCAGAGTCTTTTCTGAGATTGCAGTGACCCATGAACATAGCATCCCTGAAAGCTGATTGTGTTTTACCTTTAACAGAGGACTCAAAAAGGGCTAAGATTTTGGTCATTTATTTTCATGAGACACCTATTTTGCTTTTAGATTGTTATGGCAAGTATGTTTCACTAATAAAAAGCTTTGGAAAAAAAAACACAAAACAAAAATAGCCATCAGCTATAAACCCACTCTTCATATAGTTTAGTGTATCTCACCTCAGTCTTTCTCCTCTGTAGTCTTTTTATTTAATTTAAAAAGTCCTGCTCCTGTTTTTTGTTTGTTTGTTTGTTTGTTTTTCGAGACAGGGTTTCTCTGTGTAGTTTTGGTGCCTGTCCTGGATCTCGCTCTGTAGACCAGGCTGGCCTCGAACTCACAGAGCTCCACCTGCCTCTGCCTCCCAAGTGCTGGGATTAAAGGCATGCGCCACCACCGCCCGGCTTTGCTCCTGTTTTTTTAAGCATTGTATGATAATATTCCCAAAATATCATTTTACTGTTGATATTAGCAAGCTTGGACACATTAACAGACTTCTAGCTAATATGTTTTTGTTTAATAAATGGCTACCTTGATCTGCTCCCCCTGTCAGAGAAATGCATAAACGAAGTGACTTATGAGCAACAGAAATTAACCTCTCAGGGTCATAGAGACTAAGAAGAAGTTCAAGATCAAGACACCAGCCATCAGGTTTGGTACCTATAGATAGGGCCATGTGTCCTCATATGGATGAAAGGAACAAGGGCTTGTTTCTTGACCCTGGCTTCCACCTCCTCATCACCTCCCAAGAGATCCCAGATGGGGACTGAGCAGCCATGAAAGGTTCACAGGCATCATTCAGACCACAGCGACAGCAAGGACTCTTGAAAAGACACAAGTCCATCTTGGGAAACAGAAAACAGGAGAAAGCAGGAAAGAGAAAAGGTCGTCCAATTCCTAGATATGGGTGTGGTGACCTGAACACTGAAGAAAACACCCTGATGGCTGCCACTTGGAGAAGCCCTGTGTCATGGGCAGGCATTTTATCATCCCATTTCAAATTCTTTTTTTTTCTTCTTTTTTTTGTTGTTGTTGTTTTTGTTTTTTTTTTAGACAGGGTTTCTCTGTGTAGCTTTGCGCCTTTCCTGGAACTCACTTTGTAGAACAGGCCTTGAACTCACAGAGATCCGCCTGCCTCTGCTTCCTGAGTGCTAGGATTAAAGGTGTGCACCACCACTACTGCCTGGCCCATTTCAAATTCTTACACAGCTCAAAAAGAACAGTGGCTTGTGGTTCATAGAGACAGTCGGTGGTGGATATAGATTTTGAGCAGGTGTGCCTGACCCCAGACTATGTCTTTCTGGTTATATCATGATGTCATCACCTTCACCACCATCATTCCAACAGCATGCCCACAGTTTCCACCAATACTACTCCGATCATCACTGTCTTCTCTATCACCTCCTCCACCATCACCATTACTGTCTTTCTATCACCTCCGTCATCTCTACTGTGGCCTCCACCGTCACCATTAGCATTTTACGTCTCCCTGTCACCTCCTTCATCTCTGCTGTGGCCTCCACCATCACCATTAGCATCTTACCATCTCCCTGTCACCTCCGTCATCTCTGCTGTGGCCTCCACCATCACCATTAGCATCTTACCGTCTCCCTGTCACCTCCGTCATCTCTGCTGGGGCCTCCACCATCACCATTAGCATCTTACCGTCTCCCTGTCACCTCCGTCATCTCTGCTGTGGCCTCCACCATCTCTCCTCCACTGCTTCCACTCTCACTACCACAATCTCTACCGTCCCCACTTCACCTGCTCCGTTACCTCTGTTGTCATCTCTACCCTCTCTGTGATCACCTCTTCCCGGACCTCCACTTACCCCCACCACCTCTACTCCCACCTCTGTTGCCGAGAAGTGTAACCTGGGTAATAATCACCTAGGTGTCACCTATCTTATCATCCATCACTACCACCATCGCCTCCACCATCTCTACAATCATCATCACCTCTACTGTCCTGGAACAGCTACCGTGTCTACATCGCCTCCTCCTGCATCTCCGCTGTCACCTCCACCATCTATATATTATTACCTCTTCCTCTCCTCCTACTGTTCTGACCCTTTTATCCTCAAATTTCTGCACATCTTTTCTCCCCTCACACTTTCAGATTCTGGCCTGCTTCATCCTAACCTCCTCTGACTGTTACTGTCTCAGTTGCCTGGGTAACAGAAAGAATGTCTACCTTTCCGTGACCTTTACGAACCATCTTAATCATTCATTCATCCAACAAATATCACTGAGAGCCTATGTCGAGAAAGTCATTCTTCGTAGCCTTAAAGGTATATGGCCAGTGGCCCTGTTTGCAGTATTTGCTTCAGTACACCAAACAGATCGTATGTTTTAGAATTTTCTTCACACATACACACCCACTATTTAAATATCACACCTACTAGCAAATCATCAGCCCACCGGGCTTCAGCGGCCCGCTCACACGGCCTGACCTCCAAGCTGCATGGAAAGCAGAAGTGATCTGCTCAAGAAGGACTCACAAGTCAAAAGGAAAGTCTCAGGCAATAGCCATGAAGTAATTTCTTATCTCTTGTTGCCACAGCAAGCTACCGCAGCAAAGAACTTCCTATTTCCACGTTCTGATGATGAGCATTTGCTGAATGCAATTTGCCTGAAATGGTCACACGCGGACCTTCTACGGAAAAGATACCTGGTATATATAAGTACAGTAGATAAAAGGGATAAAGGGTAGATTAAACAGTAAGCACACCAACAAAACTTTGCACCCACACTTGTATGATATGAGCAAAGAAAGAAAAAACCATTCTGTTTCCACCTTCCATGTAAACAAGTCACCACGTAGGAACCGGATTCTACCTACTACTATACTCTGCCTAGGTTTGGACTAGGAACTCACAGGCCACTTAAGTCTAATAAAGTCCACTACTGCAGGCAAAGATGCCTTAATGGGTTATAAATCTGCCTCTATAATTAAATTCTAATCTTTTTTGCATGTACTCAAAGAAGGAAAGCTGAGTACTTCCTATGTCCTCTGTAAAAAGCCTTTGAATCAGCAACACCTAGCCCTAGCTTTCCAACGAGAGATGTTCTGTCTAGCCTAGACCTACATCTAAAAGCAAAAATCCCCTCCAGTTGCCTGCATGCAAAGGGGAATTCTCCACAAAGAGGACACTTTCTCTAATGTGGGGGTCACAGAGCATTTCCCCAAATGAACCCTTTCAGGACTCAAACAAATGCTGAAGTGAGCGTTTCTAAATCAAACCCCGGGCTGCAGACCAAGCGACTCTCAGTGCAAGCCTCCGGCAGCAAGAAGAGAAGAAACAGCAGATGCACAACTCCCCTCCTCACAGCTCTGGCAGCATGAGAGGCCTGCAGCACGGTGCTTCAGAGCCATGTGCTTAGGAAAAGCAGAGCCAACTCCGCATCCCAAGAGCCTGTTTTCAGACCTGGCTGTTCTAAAGACTGTCAAAGAGTACCTTCGTATCACCCAGCAACTGTTTCTGTATCAGTCAGAGTGACTTTACTTACATGCGATATAAAGAGAGCCAATCCAAGAGCTGCCTCTGGATCCCCGAATTCAGAAAGCTCATAATAGTTGAAGGTCAAGACTGAAGATTCCACTCCAAGTATCCACAGCCCTGGAGGCTCAGCCAACACCAAACTACCCTTAGAAGCGAGCCAGAAAATAAGGCTATTTCAAAAGAAGGGGAAGTGTCATCTCTACTTCCTCAATTCTGTGTGTCTTCCTTCTTGTTCTTGTTGAAACCCTCCTGGATACAGAACATCAAAGCAGGCATGTCCCATCTGCCTGACTTCATTTATCACAGAAGACCACTCAGTGTGCTCCTTTCCGGAACACATGGATGAAACCCTCCCTGGTTTTACCTTCCTGTTGGGGAGGCAATTCGTGGGCATGAGGATGGCAGTACAGGCAAAGCTTCTCTTGCCATGTTGGGTGGAGAAACGGCTCAGCTGTCACGAGAAAACACCGCTCTTGCAGAGGACTGAAGTTCAACTCCCAGCATTCACCTCAGGCGACCCACAGCCACCTGTAACTCCAGCTTCAGATGGATCTGACAGCATGTTGGGTTCCGACATCACATTTTATCATGTTTAGATTCAATCATTCCTACATTTCCTTCACTTCTCTCCCAGCCTTTTGGGATCCGCTGAAGAGAAAGTACCGATGAACTGGATTAAAGCTGTTCTTAAACAGTAAGTCTTCTGCTGGGGAGATGACTTGGTCGGTAATGTACCAGCCGTGCACACATGAACACCAGAGTCTGGATCTGCAACACGCACAGAAGAAACTAAGCACAACACCACAGAAGCACGTCTGCCACCCAAGCACTGTGTGGCGAGACATGGGGACAAATAGATCCCCTGAGCTCACTGGATAATCAATCTTAACTATCGCTAAGTTGCAGGTTCAGTAAGAGACCCTGTCTCAAAAATAATAATAAAGTGGAGAGTGATAGCCAAGACAACGATTGTCACCCCCTGGTGTCCCTACTTCCCCCACCCACACACGTGTGTGCCTACACACTTTCTAGTAGGCCCCACCTCATAATGACCCACTGCTTCTCAGTACTGCTACACTGGGACCAAGACTCTAGCATATGAACTTTTGAGTGATATTCACTAATCATGCCCAAGCCGGCATTTATCCTTCTCTGCTTAATGGCTTCAACTAACAAATACCAAATATCTTGTGGTTCCTATGGACTTGGAGCTTCTGGGGACTCAGAGCCCAGTTTCACCAGCTCCTCTGGCTAGCGATGTTCAAGCTAGGTGATGTCAAGAGGGGCAGCCACCTCCAGTCTCAATGGTGAAAGTAACTTCTTCCAAGATCGCTCATGTAGTTGCTGATAGAATTCAGTGTCTCATGAGCTGTGGGACTGAAGGCCTCAATTCAATGATCATTGCCTTCAAGCCAACCTCAGCTCCCTCTCCCATGGCCCCTTTCCAGGCTGCGACATGGCAACTGGCTGCCATGGAATGATCGAAGTGGCAAGACAAGAGTGGAACAGAAGTCACTTCTGCGATGTGATCCCAGACGCTACATTCCCTATATTGCGTGGACTACAAATGAGCCACTTGGTCTAGCCTGCCGCACTAGAGAGCTGGGGGTTACAAAGTATGAATTCCAGGAGGGGACAACTAAAAGGATCTATCACAGATGGCTTCCTGCCATGATACATAAAACTTTATCCAAACTCAAGTTGCACCGGTCAAGTCAAATATCAGTCCAGAAGGAAGAATCATCCAGTAGGGAAATCATAAACAGACCCATGCTGGGAAGGAAATCTGACCCTTTCATAGGCATCATGGACCTGAAAACTTGACAGTCATCACCAATTCATCTCTAAGAAGGAAGTTGGCCTATAGGCTGGAAGGTGGCTGCAAGGTCTTGCAATTTCAATAAAAAAAAAAATAATGTCCTACCTAATCACAACATGTGAGAAACAAGCATGGAATTAAGTCATATACCACCCATACTGCTTTCTCCATGTCTCCTTGTGTCTCTCTTCTTCCCAGAGTCCTCTCTGTCCCCCGAAATCTCACCTAACCTCTTCCTGCCTAGCTATTGGCCATTCAGCTCTTTATTAAACCAATCACAGCAATATACTTTCACACAGTATACAAATATATCACAACAATAGCTTACAAGCCAATATACTCCACACCTCATGATCAAAATGTCAATAAAAAGTGTGTTAAAAATAATATTTTGGGGAAACAGGAAAAAAAAGGATACATTTTTATTAAGCTATTGGTAAAAACCTTGGAGACTCAATGAACTTGAAAAACTACCTCAGTAGAATGATTTCACAAGAACTTCACCTGGGTTGAGTATGTCACTCAAATCCATATGTAGAAACGTAACCTCACTATGGTGGTATTTAGAGGTGGACCTGTGAGAAGAGCTTAAGTCATGAGTCAGAACCCATGTGTATGCAACTTCTGTTCTTACAGAGGAGGCCCCGAGAGCTGGCTTTCCCTTGATTATGAGAGGGCCTGGCAAGAAAATCATCGTACGTAAACTAGGAAACAGGCCCTCAATAGACTCCAGGCCAGCCAGTTAATCTTGACCTTTTGGTCTCCAGAATTGTAAGGAACAAATATTTGTTATTTATAATCTACTAGCCTGGAATATTTTGTTACAACAGAAAAAAAAAACTGAATGTGGTGGTTTAACTGAGAATGGCCCACAAAAGTTCATATGTTTGAATGCTTGGCCCCCAGTTAGTGGAACTGTTTGGGAAGGATTAAGAGGTGTGGCCTTGTTGGGAGAGGTGTGTCACTGGGGGTGAGATTTGAGGTTTCCAAAGCTCACACCAGGCCCAGTCTTTGTCTCTGTTTCTGTGTCTTTCTGTCTCTCTCTGTGTGTCTCTCTCTGTCTCCCTGTCTCTCTCTTATCTGTGTGTGTGTTTGTCTCTCTGTCTGTCTGACTGTCTGTCTTTCTGTCTGCTACCAGCAGATCAGGATATAAAGCTCTTAGCTATGGCTCCAGGGCCATCACTGTCTGTTCCCCACCATGATGATCATGGACTAACCCTCTAAAACTGTAAGTAAGGCCTAAGTAAATGTTTTAAGAGTTGCCTTGGTCATGGTGTCTCTTCACAATGATAGAACAATAAATGAAGACACTGAACATTTTGACCAGAAACAAAACTAAGACTCTGTAGTATATTTGTATGTACATTTCTATTTCCAGGAGGCACTATCTCAGCTCCTCCCTCTGTGAAGTTATCCTCTAGCTCCCTGATTTACGAAGTATTAAAAAATAGCAGGGACTAACTTCACAGCATGTCTTAGACACCGTCATCAAAGTCATCCACAAAGGTTTCATTATTTATAACTATGTAACCAGTGTTAGAGTCCCATAGATCCTTGGAGTATACCATCTGACTCATAGAACTAAAATTATCTCACAGTGACTGGCCTTCAATCTGGTGGTGAAACTATAGGTTCATTTTGCTCCCTGGCTTCCACAAAGGCTTCATTTAAATGAGAGGAAACACATTAAAAGATAAAAAGCTCTCAATAACAAACAGAGTTCTTCCAAGGAAGAGCATCAGAGCTTCAGAGATGTCAACAGATTTAAGATATGAAAGCCAGTGGGTGAGAGGAAGATGAATACAGGCAGGGCACCACAACATTCCAAGAGCAAGGAGGATGGTGTGGTGAGGAATGGCATGCCCATGATGTTCTCAAATGGAGAAAAGAAGTCCCACAACAGAAACCTTCAAAGTTCTAAAGGAATCTAAATTTCACCTTAGAATTTTGTATTCCGTCATTAAGCAAATCTTTTTGAGTACCATCCTAGACCTGAAAATACAACGGAGAACTTCTCTTCTTATGCTTGGATTAAGCTGGAGTTTTAGGACCAGAAACACAAATGTAATGTATGCAGTGGAAATAATAGTCAAGGAGGAAAAATGTTAAAAATAATGCAAAATAGGAAATACATTGAGTCTAGAGAGCAAGTAAAAATTGGATGGATAGCTGGGCAGTGGTGGCGCACACCTTTAATCCCAGCACTTGGGAGGCAGAGCCAGGCAAATCTCTGAGTTCCAGGACAGCCTGGTCTACAGAGTGAGTTCCAGGACAGGCTCCAAAACGACACAGAGAAACCCTGTCTCGGGGAAAAAAAAAAAAAAAAAAAAAGATGGATAGCCTAGAAAATACAAAGAAGATGACAGATGAACCATGGCCTAAAGGAAGTGAAGGAAATCATGAGCCCTGTGGACAACTGAGGGGAGAGCTGGGGGCGGTCAGAGAGAGCCAGAAACACAAATATCCTATCACCTCCAGAGCCTTCTGGGGCCAGGAGAACAACTAGGAGAATGTGGAACAGCAAGAGAAGAGGTGGGGGAGGGGAGAGGGGGGAGGGGAGAGGGGAGAGGGAGTGGCCCTGGAGAGACTCTGGGCACAGTGGGAGTCTTCTCAGCAGCCCCACTCCCTGGAGAACTGTCTCCGTGACACCAGAGCTGAGTATAG